ATACATAAGTCATAATAGCAACTTCAAACAGCTAGAAAGCAGCTGGAGGTGGAAGGAGCCTGAGTTATTTCTGGGGAGTTAGAGACCCTGCAGACAGTTTGTGACTGCCCAGTTATAGCTGTGTGGCTCAGGTAGGTTTAGGCTAAGCTTATTTCTGAGCAGAGCAGTGATAGAGCTAATTTTGACTACAGCAAAACAGCATCATGGGCTTGTGGAAAACTTGGATCCCTAGTTCCAAGCTGCTGGTCTCTGCTAGGCTAGAGCTGTCCATACCAAAGCCGATTTTTCCATAAACTTCCTCTTGGCCCCAGGCCTGGGGCTTCTTCAATCCTAGGACTTAGCTGGCAAATCCAGAGGCTTAAAGCTTTACATCGCCTCGAGTGCTGGGGACTAATGCCTGGTTACCATAGAAATCTTTTGGGGTGGGGGAAGGTGTCTCCAATCGTCTCTAAGCTGGATCATTTCTTTTCAGTGGCTCATAGTTCAGCTACAGGCCATGTGGGCACAGACTTCCCTGACTAGAGAAAGACAAAGTCTTTCTGGAACCTGAATGAGGAAGATTGCGGAGGGTCAGAAAGTGTAGTTTAATTCTGTCCCTCCCCACCCCCGTCCTCAGAAGGATCTGCTCTGCATTGTTTCCCTCTCTGTCTCCCTCTTTTTTCTTTCCAGATACAGTTTTATCATGTTTCTCCTTTGCTTTCTCAGGAAACTACTACTTTGAGGAGAAAGTTCTTCTTCCTAAACCATGAGCCTATAATTAAACTTATGCATTATGCAGCACAGGGACAGTTAATAAGCACATCGGCCCCTTATAAACTTAGAACTTTTCTATGGGGGAAATTCAAGATTGATGATATTATAAGTGATTGGAGAGGAGGCAAGGGTGGTAAACGAGGAGATCCCATACATCCATAGTTCTGCGCTTCTTTGGGGATGAACATCTGTGGCACTAATAATCTAGCTAGCACAAAGCAGCAGCATAACACCGTGCTCAAAAATGAGAGTTCTGGAGTCAGACTGCTTAGATTTGAACCCAGGCTCATCCACTTTCTTACCTCATGAACTTAAGAAAGTTTTCCAATGACTTGGTGGCTCAGTTTTCACATAGCAGAGTGGGAATGATAATTATACCCACCTTACAAAGCAGTTAATACAGGAATATTAGCTATTATCATTTTTAAGTGCTTATTATTGCCAGGCGCTGTCCTAAGTGCCTTGCATGCATTCTCATTTTACAATGCTCTCAAAGGATAAATATTATTTTCAAAGATTTTAGAGGTGAGAATTCTGAGGAACGGACAGCCACATGAACTTTGGAGTCAAATGGATGGAGCTTGAAGCTGGTCTTCTGCAGACCCTTTGTGTGGTCCTTGGCAAGTTTCCTCATCTCTCAGACTATTTCTCCATTTCCAGAAGGGGTGTGTGTGATGCCACTAATAGGCTTTGGAAGTAGGGAGACTTCATGAGATAATGAATGTGAAATATGCTTGTTATTACATTTCAGTGCCTACCATGTGCTAAACAGTTTATAATCTTTCCCTGTGTTCATGCTCTGTGAGGTCAGTGTTCTTGTCCTTTCTATGACAAGAACACTACTCTTTGGTGAACTCCTTGTTACTCCTGCAGCACGGGAGTGGAAGAGGAGGGAGTAGCCTCCTTGTATCAAACACCACAACACTCTTGGGTCTTGGGTGCAGGTGGGCTATGGAAGGGGACTTGGCCACTGCTTCCAGGGGATGAGTCACAATCTGTGTGAAAAGGCTAGAAAAACTAGAAATGACTGGAGCAGAGGGGTCTGGCTGGACTGATCTGAAGACAGCTTTTATTGGGGGACCTCATTCCAGTGCCCAACTTCTGAATCCGCTTTAGAGGAAGTGGCTTTGGAGGGAGGGGACAGAAAAACTGGCCTTTAAGTTGTCTTGAGGGCTGGGCACCTAATAATCATAAAGTGCCAGAACAATTCTTCCTTGTATAAAGCAATTAAGCAAATAGCTTTATCTTTAGGCCAGCTTGGATTTAAATCCCCAGATCTACAACCTGGTTTCAAGACCTTGGCAAAGTCACTTAGCCCCTCTGAACCCTAGTTTTTTTTCATCAGAAAATGGAAAAAGGGTTTCTCCACAGGGTTGGAGGATTAAGCCAGCAATATGTGTATGGAACATTTATAAAAGGCCAATGTATTATTTCTGACTTTTACATTATTGTGTAAGAAAAAAGACCTTATGACCCTGAAGATGAAGGAAGGAGAAGGAAGAAAGCAAGGAGCATAGCAAAAAGGGAAAAATGGGGTAGAGCAGAGTAGATTTAACACTAGCACACTGATGCCTAGGAATCAGAGATCAGCTTCCACGTGCCTGAGATGTCAGACACTGACTTTTCCTCAGATGTGACTGTGGGCTTGTGGTTGTCATTGCACTCTGCTATGGACAGAAGCTTTGTACAGAATGACACTATATGGAATGGCAGTTGGCGAAAATGTTGCTTTGGGTGGTCCCTAAGCTGCTCTTTTGCTGAATAGACCGTTGTGTTTTTTTGAACAGGGGAAAAGCCCCTCCATTTGGGCTCTGGTCTATCAGATAATGCATGTCTTGCCTGACATTGGGACAAGTTTTGTAAACTGTCTACTGCACTGTCTTGAGAATCAGTGCTGAGCTGAGATCAGGATCATTCACCTACAGCAAGTTAGTCAACCTGAGACTCATCTTATTATTATGAGTGTAGGTAACATCCTTACTCAGTGTCTGGTACATGGTCAATAAATGATGGCAACTATTCTTATCATCATCATCATCATCATCATCATCATCATCAGAGACTGATGGGTGGATCCATATACACTCACATTGAAGCAAAAACACATTCCTTTAGTCTATCCCTGCCTTATGTGAATTTTCATTGCTATATGCCACTTCCTAGCACAGTGCTTAGCATAGAACAGAAAGTCAGTTTAGTAAGATAGTGCTTTTAAGACAAGTCATCTATTCATCCTTTCAGCAAATAGACAAAATTGAACGAAGGAAGGCACATAGAAAAGAGTGTATACTGCATGATTCTAACAGGGAAATTAATCTGTGATATTAGAAGTCAGAAAGGTAGTTATCATTGAGAGGATGGGGTCCAGAAGGGGTCCCAGAGTGTTCTTGGGGAGCTGACATTGTTCTGTTTCACTTCAAGGAAATTCAATCTTGACACTTAACGACAGGTAGGCTTTTCTATGTGTTTCATATACTTTAACAAAAAAGAATTAACAAGTATAGTAAATTTGCTGGTAGAAAGATATCTTATGAGTATTGTTTATAATGCTTAGGGAACCGGTGATAGAGTAAGCTACAGATGTAGCACGGACAAGGTCTCTCCCTCTCTGCACCCAGTATAAAGATCTTACTTAGACCCGATCCTTCAAAATGAGGGGCCAGATCATTAAAGGAAGTTATGATAGGAGACATCCTCCTATAACAAATCTGATCGCTGTTTCCTCTCTATGCATGTACTCATTTAAATGTCCATACTTGCCTTTTTTAAAGCTTTCTGAGAATTCTGTTAGAAATTTTGATAATGAATACAGAAAGACTGAAGAAAGTAGGACAGTTAGGAGGCATAAATATCTAGAGAAATAATGACAATTTGTAGTTTCATTGGGATCTGATTTGAGGAATATGTTTTGGAGTGAAAAAAAAAAACCAAAAAACAGATCTCCTCTACCTCCTGGGAGATTTCATGGATAACAGGAATGGGAGGAAAACCTGGCAGGTATTAGAGGGTGAGCTCTGGGGACAAAGTAGGGGAATTACAGTTTGTGCTTCTGTGAGACATTCAATTTATAATGCAAACAGATGTGAAGTTAGTAGACACAGGGAAGATGCAGTGCTGTTGCTGAGGAGAGAAGCTGGAGAGAATGGAGAGCCTAAAGGTGTGATGTGAAGTTATGGGATCAGAGGAACTTTCACACTACACTCTGGTCTCCTTGCTTAACTTTATTAATCCTGGGATTCTGGAAATTCAGCTGCTCTAACTCTTCAGGTGGTTACCCTCAGGCCAGTCAGCCTCACCCTTCTGCCCACACAAAGGAGAACTTCAAAGTACTTGGGGGCTATCATAAGAGCTTTTATGGCAAGAGGGCCAAAAGAAATATTTCAGAGGACAGTGCCTTCCTATTGAGTCCATGTCCATAGGACTGTCTCAAAAGCAGAGTCAGAAGCTTCAAGCAGCCAGGGAAGTGGAGATGGGCCTGGGGAAGATGGCATTTTAACAAAAGTGCATCATCTGAGTTCCTATCTTGTTTACCAGACTTAGCTTGAAGAACTCTTGGATACTTACTCTAAGTCAACCCATCTTCTCAGGAGAGAAATTTGTCACTATTGAACACATTCAAAAGAACACATATGGGGCCCCAAAGGAATTTCCAGAAAAGAAATACAGAAAATGTTGGTTTTATAGAGCACTAGAGGAAAAACCAAAACCAGCCTCCTCAGACAAAGATTTTGAAAATACATCCTTTGTTTGCCTGTGTCCTTTCTAGTGTTGTTTGTTAATAGTGTTGTTTATATATTGGGCTGTGGAAAACCTGCCTCTAAGAATAAATAAAAATGGAGTCTCTTCTGCTTATTCATAATACCATCCTAATTTTGACAGAAAATTATTCTCCATTCTTCATTATTTAATCTGAGGAGACACTCTGGAGATAGGCCTTTGAGTATAGCTTAAGTGAATAAAGAAGGTTGTTTAGGCCCAAGAAAAGATACTGAGTAGCTAAAGCAGTAAGCAGAGATCAACTCTTACAATGTATTCATTGTTACCATATCCAAAGAGAAGGCTAAAGTAGCCAGGAGATGGAGAGGAATGGGCTTCTAAGGGGAATGAGGTTTCTTTCATGGCCTAAGAAAGGGTTATGGGGCAGATTTTCTTTTCCATACCAACTTATTAGGGACTTTATATAAGTGATGATCAAATAAATGAATGTCTCTTACTTGTAGGATGGACAACTCCCTCCTGGAAACACTATGTTCTCCTGCAACACCAGCACTTCTGGTCATTCTACATTCCTCCTCACTGACTTTCCAGGCCTGGAAGCCTCTCATCATTGGGTTTCCATCCCCATCAACCTCATCTGTGTGGTTTCCATCCTGGGTAACAGTTTCATCCTTCTCCTGATCCGCACAGATCCATCCTTACATGAACCCATGTACATCTTCCTATCCATGTTGGCAGCCTCTGATCTGGGACTTTGTGCCTCTACCTTCCCCACCATGATGTGGCTCTTCTGGCTGGGTGCTCGTGAGCTGCCGTTTGATCTCTGTGCAGCACAAATGTTCTTCATCCATGCCTTCACCTATGTGGAATCTGGTGTGCTGCTGGCCATGGCCTTTGATCGTTTTGTTGCCATCCGGGAACCTCTGCATTATGCCACAATTCTGACCCACTCAACCATGGCCAGAGTGGGGGCTGCCATCCTGGTGAGGGCTGTCCTGCTCAACCTCCCAGGACCCATCCTCCTGTGGCGTCTGCTTTTTCCCCAGATCAGTGTACTTTCTCATTGTTACTGCCTACACTGTGACCTTGTGGGATTGGCCTGCTCAGACACCCAGATCAACAGCTTGGTTGGCCTGGTCTCCATCCTCTTGTCACTGGGCCTTGACTCCTTCCTCATCATGCTCTCATATGCCCTGATCCTACGAACAGTGCTGGGCATTGCATCACCTGGGGAAAGGCTCAAGGCACTCAACACATGTGTCTCACACCTCTGCATTGTTCTCATCTTTTATTTGCCCAAACTGGGGTTATCTGTGCTGCACAGAGTAGAGAAGCACAGCTATCCTGCTCTGGCAGTACTCATGGCCAACCTGCACTTCTTGGTCCCACCCTTCATGAACCCCATTGTTTACTGCATCAAGTCTAAGCAGATACGTCAGGGCCTCCTAAAGCGCTTCCAGCAGAAAAGGGTTGATATCTCCCAGAAGAACAGAAGGACCCAGAAACACAAGACCTCTGTGGGGAAACCTGGGTCTTTGGGTGGGGGAGAATTAGTGGTGGAGAGTTAATTTTTGAGGTCTGAATGATTCAGCTTCCATGGTTGAGCCCTTTGTGGGGGCACAATCAGCTTATATAATTATAATTTTGGGGGACTTGAGACCACTGAAAAGTATATTTAAGTATTACCTTGTTAGTCCTCTCATTGTTGTGATTAGAGCTATACTATTTCAGACTCATACTGTGACATCTCCTTTCCTAGGGGACCTAGCCACAGCACCTGAGAGAATGTGTATGCATACCCATTTGTGCAGGCACCTCTCTCCTTTTCCCCACTGGATTTTCCTCCCCCCATTTCATTTCCAAGCCTAAGGAAGAACTATATTCCTGTTATATATAAGGTTAGGTAGAAGTAAACTGTATTCACCTTAACACTGGCTTTCTCCCAAATTCAATATTAACCAGTTCACAAATCAAGAAACAAACAAGGGGGGCTGGTGTGGATGGTAGGAAACACACAGGGTGACACTGCACATGTTGAATTTATCTAGCACTTATTTGTAGCCTAGGGAGTGATAGTTTTCTCTTGATTCTTTTCAGGCATGTCTCTGTTTTGAGCTTGAAGTTTGGTACTGGTAAACCCAGGAAAGCTGCTCAGTAGAACTTCTGGATCATGCTGGAGCATCAATGGTACAGGTGGAACAGCCCACTCACTTCCAATGCAGATGATTTGCTAGGATATAAGCTCCATGAGGCCAGAAATTTGGGGACTGTTTTGTTCACTGATATGTCCCCAGCTCCAAGAACAGTGCCTACCATATAATAGGTGCTCAATATATATTGTTGAATAAATGAGTAGGGAAGACAAAGGGACAAAAAAAAGTCTTTATGGCTGGTCCTCAGGAAGGGTAAGGACTAAGAGATCTGAATGTCTGAGGCCTGTGGGGATAATGAGTAGTTGGTAAATTGCAGTGGAATGAGGTAAGGATGGGATGTCAGATATCACATGATTAGGACATCAGGATGTGACGATATCACATGATTAAGAAGCCTGTTTCCAAGGATGCATCTCAGAGAGGAGCTTAAAATTTTTTTGTGGAGATTTTCCCAAAGCTGTTTGCAAATTTCCAGAAGGAATTTTACCCAGAAACTGAAGGGTACCCCACACTAGAACTAGCATTGCCCTTGGCCTGCTCAGCCCTAAAATAACCAAACACTAGATGGGGCACTGAAATAGGGATATTCCTGGTAGAAAACCACTACTCAAATTTAATAGAAAAAGCCACAATAAAGCTATTTGGAACTTCTTGCTTTTATCTATAGCTATCTAGATAATTGATAATTTACTGCTTATAGTCATTTCTATTTATCATTTTCATGAACTGAGATGAGAGAATAGGAACTCAGAGGCAGGAGGCAGGATAGGTAGCTGCAAGCCCTATACATGCAGTTCTAGCTGGAAAGGCTGTTTTCCCATTAGATGTATTCATTTTGGCCACTGTATCCACTGTAGGATTCTAAGAAACTCAGATCCCCATGCTTATCAATAACTAGGAGAAGGCCACTGCCAACCCAGTGTGTCTGAAGGTCACAGATCCTGCTCATAGAGGTCAAGAAGCAAGGATAATAAATCACTAGTTTAGAGTTACTATTTCAGAATATTATATCTAGTAGTAGCCAGCTAAAGGCTTCAATAAGTCTAGTTTTTTTTGGTTTTAGTAACCCACTAATTTTTTTTTATTTCATTTCAGCGTAACAGTATTCATTATTTTTGCACCACACCCAGTGCTCCCTGTAATCCATGCCCTCCATAATACCCACCACCTGGTTCCCCCAACCTCCCAACCCCTGCCCCTTCAAAACCCTCAGGTTGTTTTTCAGAGTCCATCGTCTCTCATGGTTCATCTCCCCTTCCAATTTCCCTCAGCCCCCTTCTCCTCTCCATCTCCCCATGTCCTCCATGTTATTTGTTATGCTCCACAAATAAGTGAAACCATATGATAATTGACTTTCTCTGCTTGACGTATTTCACTCAGCATAATCTCTTCCAGTCCCGTCCATGTTGCTACAAAAGTTGGGTATTCATCCTTTCTGATGGAGGCATAATACTCCATAGTGTATGTGGACCACATCTTCCTTATCCATTGGTCCGTTGAAGGGCATCTTGGTTCTTTCCACAGTTTGGCAACCGTGGCCATTGCTGCTATAAATATTGGGGTCAGATGGCCCTTCTTTTCACTACATCTGTATCTTTGGGGTAAATACCAATAGTGCAATTGCAGGGAAGCTCTATTTTTAATTTTTAGAGGAATCCCCACATTATTCTCCAAAGTGGCTGCACCAACTTGCATTCCCACCAACAGTGTGAGGGTTCCCCTTTCTCCACATCCTCTCCAACACATCTTGTTTCCTGTCTTGCTAATTTTGACCATTCTAACTGGTGTAAGGTTGTATCTCAATGTGGTTTTAATTTGAATCTCCCTGATGGCTAGTGATGATGAACATTTTTTCATGTGTCTGATAGCCATTTGTATGTCTTCATTGGAGACGTGTCTGTTCATATCTTCTGCCCATTTTTGGATATGATTATCTGTTTTGTGTGTGTTGAGTTTGAGGAGTTCTTTATAGATCCTGGATATCCACCTTTTGTCTGTACTGTCATTTCCAAATATCTTCTCCCATTCCGTGGGTTTGCCTCTTTGTTTTGTTGACTGTTTCCTTTGCTGTGCAGAAGCTTTTGATCTTGATGAAGTCCCAAAAGTTCATTTTCGCTTTTGCTTCCTTTGCCTTTGGAGACATATCTTGGAAGAAGTTGCTGTGGCTGATATCGAAGAGGTTACTGCCTATGTTCTCCTCTAGGATTCTGATGGATTCCTGTCTCACATTGAGATCTTTTATCCATTTTGAGTTTATCTTTGTGTATGGTGTAAGAGAATGGTCGAGTTTCATTCTTGTACATATAGCTGTCCAGTTTTCCCAGCACCAATTATTGAAGAGACTGTCTTTTTTCCACTGGATATTTTTTCCTGTTTTGTTGAAGATTATTTGCCCATAGAGTTGAGGGTCCATATCTGGGCTCTCTACTCTGTTCCACTGGTCTATGTTTCTGTTTTTATGCCAGTACCAAAAGAAATTGAAGACACAAAAAGATGGAAGACCATTCCATGCTCTTGGATCGGAAGAATAAACATTGTTGTAATGTCTATACTACCTAGAGCAATCTATACTTTTAATGCCATTCCGATCAAAACTCCACTGGTATTTTTCAAAGAGCTGGAACAAATAATCCTAAAATTTGTATGGAATCAGAAGAGACCCCAAATTGCTAAGGAAATATTGAAAAACAAAAATAAAACTGGCAGCATCACGTTACCTGATTTCAAGCTTTACTACAAAGCGTGATCACCAAGACAGCATGGTACTGGCATAAAAATAAATCTAGTTTGACAGGCTACTGAAGAGGAGGTCATTTGAAAAGATAGCTTGTGTTATAGGACAAGGTTCCTTATCAGGGCCACAAATCCTGGACTGGACAAACCTGTATAGGACAAGCCCATGTAATCTAGGCCCCTCTGCCCACTTCATCCACCACCCCAAAACAGGAAGGTTCTGGTCAGAGATACAGCAAGTCCATCTTGCTGAGGAGGGTCCCACCTATTTCTGTTAGAAACTCACAGCCGACGTGATGCTGTTCAGGACCACAAGCAGCCCTGGGCTGTAAAAACAAAACAAAAAGTGTATACAGGCCCCAAGGCTAGAGAAGTTCTATTGAGAGGGTTGGCAAAATTAAGCTTGGATATTAAACACCCAATCTAGGATTGTAGGGATCCTTTGGCTTTGTCATTTCTACCTTTTCTAAATAGCAGCATTGAACTTGGGAGACTTTTCTCATTTTAATTGCTGTCACCGTGCACAGCTACTCTTAGATTCTGTGGCTCTACTGACATCAAAAACTGGAAGAGATAGGGGTGGGTGGAAGAGTCTGTGTCTCTACTACTTTACTTTCAGGGTTACAGACATCCCAGCATGTTCCAATAATGCATTCCTCTGCTCCACAGATGTGATAACTACTGAAGTATTTGAGCCTGACACAGGCGGAATCCTAAGATGGTTTCTAGGAAGTTTTGCTATCAGTTTGCCCACTTAAAATTATCAAAGCATGAGATTATATATATATATATATATATATATACTAGGTATATTATTAATTATTAGTTAAAAAAAGTCTATGTACATGTATCTAAAAGCTCCTGCTCTTAATCTTTAGGCTAATAAGACTACCCCCCCAACCATGTCTGGGTGGCTCAGTCAGTTAAGTGTCTGCCTTCAATTTGGGTCATGATTCTGGGATCCCAGGACCCACATCAGGCCTGGGAGCTTGCTTCTCCCTCTCCCTGCAGCTCCCCCTGCTTGTGCACTTCTCTCTCTCTCTCTCTCTGTCAAATAAATAAGTAAAATCTTAAAAAAAAAAAAAAAAAGACTATCCCCCACCCATGCAGAAAATTGGAGTTTAAAAAAATCTTACTTCTGGCCTATACCAGTAAAGGGCAGAGGTGCTCCATGGTAGCTTTCAAAGGGATTATAATTTCCTGCAGCCAGAAGACAGACTACTGAAAATCAGACCCAGGGTAGGATTTTAAGGCGGGCATAAATAAGAAGACAACTGAATGTTCAGTCTCAATAGAAAGTTTGCTTTGGTGTAGATGACCTGATACAGAAAGTGACCTGATACAGAAAGTGACCTGATACAGAAAGAGCAAGAAATGAAGCATTTCAGTGAATGAGCCTACAACTGCTCAACCTTCCATATTTTCTGAACCTTCCAGGCTGGCAGAAGCACTTATTTTCCCTTCACAAGGAGAGAAGAGTTTCTCTGCCTGGGTATCATGACATGACCTTATTTGAAGAAGGTGCTTTGCAAGAAGTTTCTTGCTCTCTTTAAGATGAAGATCTACTTCATCACTTTTCATGGTTTCCAAGCCTGGTTATACCTTAGTACAGTGTAGGTAGAGAAATACAGTATTTGCTTCTAGAGGAAATAACTTCTATGCAAAGAAAGTTGTAGGACAAG